ATGGAGGTGCTCTACGTGTTCTATTTCAGACCGCGGCAAGAGATACTTCAAAGGAGTGAACCAGCCCTTCTATTCTCTTTAGCCCTGCATACAACGGAGGAAAATTTTCGTCCCAAATTCCCCTTCTCCTTCATTAATTATTTAAAATTTAAAAGAAAGAAAAAGATAAGTTCAGTCAAATCTAGAGTAAGTCATAAAGTTTCAATTGGTGGAAAAAATACTTCAAAATATTAAAATGCAAACAAATTATTAAAAGAGAAATTCACCGCTGCGTCATCCTAAGTTTATCATCTCATCATTTATTTTCCATTTGTATATTTTAAAATCAATATTTGAAACTTCGTGGTTTACTCTAGGTTCGGCTCAACTCACTTTTTCTACACTTTGAATTAGTAATGAAGGAGAAAGAGAATTTGCAACGAAAATTTTCTTCCGAGGTATGGCGTCCTCTCGAATAAATCCTGCGTACGTGTACGTATGGGCAGGACAAATTATTTCTATTTTGTATGAAGAGTGTCTTTTCCCCTTTTCTCTGATTCACAGGCTGCAATCCAGGTCATAAATTCTATTATCTCTCCCTCATCTTGTAAAATTCTCCATATCCAGGAATTCGTAGAAATTTTGACATCACGAAAGAAACGTGTTGTGCTCCAGTGGGTACCTGGGCACTGTGGTATCTATGGAAACGAACAGGTGGATTTCTTCTCAAAGAGGGGCGCTGGGCCACTCCAGCTGAAACATGCAGAGATCTCCGACCACAGTATAAAGCTACATCTAAAACAAGTTTTTAAGAGAACTCTTGCTTCCAAATTACAAGAAAGAATAAAAGCCAAGCGGTGGAAAGATGACCTCCTAAATATCCCTAATGGCCGTGAAGTTGTGGCACAGTTTCGACTCCTAACGGGCCACGACTGTCTGGCTGAACACTTGCACCGCATCGGTATTCTAAATTCACCTGACTGTCCGCTCTGCAACTTGGCAGAGCCCATGAATATGATCCACCTCCGCCGCTGTGCTGCATTGCATTCCGGCTCTGAATTGTCGCTTAATTGGCAAGCCAGAGAACTTTTAGGCCAATGACTTCGGTCATTCTGTTTAGTTTATTTATTCACCTGTTTCGTCTTTGCATTTGTTTTTTTGTGATATTTCTTGTTTATGCCCTGCCATTGGAAATTAAAAAAAAAGTGTTACCTGTAATCTTCCGCATTCATGCTTGGCGTCTCTTTCGTGTATAGGAAACAGGGCACCTAGAATAATATCACCGGACACATTGCTCATTCTTCTGATTGGCCATTTGATTAAATCATCTGCGGACGCCAACAAGGAGAGCAAAGGAAAGGATAGCAAACACCAGACTAATTTCATTCCTAGATGAAAAGCCTCTGTAAGAGAAAAATACAAGAATGTTTATTATAGTTACAAGTGAAAAATAAAACTCTTCCCCTGTTGAGAAGAAATGGCTCAGGGGATCGAGCTTTCGCCTTCCAATATGGTGATCCGGGTTCGAATTCCAGCGATGGTAACCCAATTCGAAAACTGCATCCGGCTTGCACCGACCACAGTGCTGACGTATAAATATATTCTCAGTGGTCGACGAATCATGGGTTAGAGTCAATAAGCCACCAGGCTAACCGTTAGAGGTTCTCCTGAGTTTCCTCTCCATGTAACGCAAAAGCGGGTTAGTTCCATCAGAAAACATTTCTCCCAATACTTGATCCACGGGGTCGGGATAACCTGGTAGGTAGGGCACTGGGCCCATGTCCAAGAGGTCATGGGTTCGATCCCTGCCGACAGAAGACTCCCCGTGTAGTAAATGGTGACTGATTCACGTTAAATCTGTCGAGTCACAAAGTCCTCCATGTTCCTATAACAAATCATACCTCTGGGGGTACTGATCCAGGAGTTCAATCGTCTTCTGGATTGGGTTCAAAATGACAAGGCTACGGAGTTGAACATTAGCAGTAGTAAACCTAAAAAATTGTTAGCTGTCCAACGACGGTTATAAAAATAAAAATAAAATTCCCTGTTCATTTTAACTTTTTGACCATTAATTAGTTTTTTTTTCTTTCCATTTCTTGTTCCTGAAACTGATATTCTCACTATTATGCTTCCTACACACGGTGCGCAAATTAATAAACATATCACCCAGAATAACTTTTGATCTAATGATCGTAACTTCACGTTCTACAAATCAATCTTAATGGTTCGAGGAAATGGTTTCAAATATGCTAATTAATTAGAGCTAATTAATAAGTTACAAAATCAGACACAAAGACGTACCTTTTCTGAAAAAAACACACAGTTTCTTGGACAAATTTCGATTTTCGACCCCCAAAATATAAGGGATTACCGCAATCTGGGACATATGGTCCCAATACTTTAGTCAGAAGAGCAGTTTAGAGTTTGGACCCCTTATTATTAATTTTACTCCTTGCGCATTTCACCATATCTCGAAAAAATTTTGCACACAATTATAAAATTCATTTATCCAAAGATAATTTATTCAAAAAATAACTTTTAGTAAATGTTATTATTTCTTATTATCGTATTTAATAATAGCAAAAAATTGTATCGTAAAGCATACAATTTGTTACATCATTTTAACGAAAGTAATTTTACTTGGCAAAATTAGAAATGTAAGCAAATTAGAAATGTGAGCAAATTCTGTCAAATCAGAAACTGAAATCTAAATAAACGACGTTTTTTTAAATTCGATTTTTCAGAAACTATTCGAACTCACATTTGGTATTTTGACGTGCAAAACCATATTCTTTAAAATTATGTCAGAATCCGTCGAAAAAACGCATAATTATTCAGAGGAAGTACGTTTTCAGAGTGTTTTTGTATCTGATTTTGTAAATTAAAGTATCGACTGCACAAACTAATCACCATATTTAAGGTCATCCTCTCGAACTATTAAGATTGATTCCTATATCGGGAAAATCCGATCATTAGATCAGAAATTATTCAGGGTGGACCGTTTATTATTTGCTCACCGCATAGGGTGGTCAAAGGCACGAAATATTTAAAAAGCATAGGCAGCTGTTTCATAAGCCTTTTGAAATGTCACTTCAATTTCTTGAAGTAAATTGATTAATTTGAACGTTACAATAGAAGCAGGGTGCGTAGCCAAATCTTTCAACAAAACATAAGCACCTTTTAAGTACTCAAAAAATAATTTTAAGCAATATATACGTTAATAAAATGCAAAATAATTTTCAAAGACTTTATATGATCATGTCAAAACAACAAGTTTCTGACAAAGAACTTTTTTCTTGATTATATTAGCCACCATAAAAAGATCGTGAGATTTTTCGGTTCTATTCCAGAGGGTGGAAAAATGAAGCCTGACCTTGAGAATATCTTGCAAAATGCAGCACAGTTGCACATGAGAGTGCAAGAATCTCACTAAACCCAGCTCAGTAGATGTACATGCTGACTCTCAAATATTTCATGAAATGGCTCTTTTTACGCTGATTGGCAATGATTGGTGCTTTTATACGCTACGGATCGACGGTACGCTGAAATGGATTGTGAATAGAACAATGTGAAAACCACGCTTTTGCATAATACGTGGCGAAAATCGGCATGGTAAAGAAGAAAAAAAATCTCATTTTCGAAAAGGGAATATTAAGCACTTTTTAAATAAACTTCACTGAAGAAAGAATCATCCTGAAGAGCTCTTAAAAAACGAGAATAAGCACCTTTAAGCACTTTTTAAAAACGCTACGCGCTATGTCAAAGGCCGTTCCCAAAAATCCTAACAAAAAGTACACTTAAATCAGTATTTAAATTAGGAAAAATAAAAAACACTATAAAAAAATCTGACAAATTACAGAAGAGAAAGGTGGATGTAATAAACTCTCTCGATCTCTCTGTGGTCACTTAATGGCGAGTATTTGTTCCAAATTAACGCTGTTTGAGTTACACAGCGTATAGGCAAAAATTTTCCCTACAAATCGTAGTATTGTAAAAATTAGCGTTACGATTTGCGTGAAATAAATCTCTCGATATTAAGGATACTACACAGTCTGCCACTAGTTTTCATGTCCGAGTTTAACGAATATAACGAGTTAGATAAATATGCAAAGAATAAATAATTATTAAAATACTTTAGCGTTTTTGCAATTTTTAATAGTTCGTTTCACTTTTTTACAAAAATTTATTACGATTAAAATTAGAAACATTTGAAATAATTTCATTTAAACCTAGCGTAAACTTTCAAGAACTTTAATGGAGAAAAAAAAAAGCCATGACTTTTTAAGAGAATTGTAATTGCATCGAATTAAATCCGGTGCAATAGTTAAAAGTTATTTCCTACTTATTTTTTTACGGAAGCAAAGCGAAATTATTTTTACGAGTTATTTATGACCTGAAAAAGAAAGTTGACGCAGCGAATCTGTTAAAATGCAAAAGCGAGAGGCAATTTTTATGGAAGCTATTAAAAAACAGCATCGCGTCTTTTTTTCCCGCTTAGCGAGGAATGGAATATCGAGTTACAGAATCATCTTACATCAGCGATTATGATCATCATTATAAAAAGAACATTATAAATAGAATTTTTTAAGCTAAGGTATTTTTGTTTAAAAAATAGAAAAAAGTAATTTTGTTTTTCAATTAATTGTGTTATGGTTTAGATCCGTGATTTTCAACCACTGTGCCGCCAAAATGTAGAAATGATACAGTAAAAATTATAATGCTTTTTTATTACGAGTAAAGTTTAAATTAAAGAAAAGTATGCGGCCATATTATTAAACGCACTTTTAGATTCTATGTAAAATCTTAACTATCAGGTGATACTATACAGCTGTATTGTTTTTATTCGAACGAAACCGGTTTGCATTTGTTTTCGCTCCTGTATCAATTGGTTAACATTGTAATGCAATACGTTAAGAATAAATACAAATAGGAAGTATATGAAAAATCTCCAGAATAAAAACATGTATGTCTAAATATAAAAGTACTGCCTATAAACTCGTACAAATCATGTCATTATTAAGAAACTACAGTGCGTCTAATAATTTGATCTAATTATTATAATACACTAATATAATGCATGATATAATAAACGTTCTATCTTTGTATAATATATGGTCTAATATATCCAATCGTCCAATTTATATTACATATCGTCTAACTTAACCAATTGATACACTAACGTAAACGTATATATATATATATATATATATATTATAGCAAAATTTTAATATATATATGGGCAAAATTTTAGGAAGTGATAGTACCCACCCAAGCAAACAATTTTTATCAAATAATGCATGGTCAAAAACAAAATGCAAAGATGCTGGCGCATTTGGAAAGTTGTTTGATGCAAACGTGAAAGCTCCATTTCTGTTGCGAGTTACAGCGCTGCGTTACTTGTCGCCAAGCTTTCGGCCGCTGCAGGGCCGCTGGTGTATTTCAGAAAGTTCGCCTATCTTTTCTTCGCCGTTGTACTGCCTGTATAAACGCTGCCGGCCACTGTTTTGAACACTTATTGTAATCACGTGCCATTAAATTTGCTTTTATAACTTAACTACATCGTCCTTTGTGTGTTTTTGCCTCATATAAGAACATAAACTTTGACGCCCTCTAGCGGTTTTGCGTTTTGTTTTCGACCATGCATTCTTTGATAAAAATTGTTTGCTTGGGTGTGTGCTATCACTTCCTAAAATTTTACCCATCTTTTAAGAATCACCCTGTGTGTGTGTTAAGATAAGTAGAAAATTTATTGACTATAAAAATTATAAAGTTACAAAAAGAAAGCAAGCTAAATGCTAACTTAGAGAAGGAAACAATTGCTAACAATTAATATAAGCTGTGCAATTAATAGTTATAAAAACAAATTAACAAAAGGTAACTAACAAAAAAACAAGCTAACATTTAATAATTAGCAAAAAAAAAACTGGTTAACAAGGAATAACAAGAAAATAACAATTAATATTTAAAAAAAAACATTGAATATCTGAAAGAAACAATCTAACAATTACTAGCTGTAAAAAAATAAGTTAATAACTAATAAAAACAAAACAAAAGAACTAACAAGCGACGCGAGGGAAAGAGGGCTAAGTCGAAAGAACTAATTAATCCCTTAATAAACGTACTGTTGTTTTTGTAGTGCGTATTATTTTATTTCACAATCAAAATTATTATCAAAAATAGGAAGTGTATTATAGGAAAGTAAACAACTTTTTAAACTTATTATTTTCGTTATGAACCGTGAAATTTCGAAATCGTTAAAAGTGTGCTACGACAAAAAATAAATAAATAAATTTGAGAATAACTTTTCTAGATCCATAATAAAATCTATGACTTTTTAAATTTCTATTATTCATTTAATTGAACAAGTTGTCGTCCATATAATCAGACTAAACGTATGAGATAA